TAACCTTTCCGGACTTAATATTTTTTTAATCTCTAAAACAGGGGAACTGACTGAGAGGACGGCCTGGTGGCTTCTGTCTCTATGAATCCATGACTCTGTGTCTCTCAGAATGTTCTTTGGGAGTTTGCTGAATTAGAGTCTTCCCTTCATTCCCACCATGCCCATAACCATAAAATATTTAAGGAGAAAAAAGGGCCCTAAAAAAGGGAAAAGCAAACAGTTAGATGGGAGTGCTCCAGAGAGAGCTCAAAGGGCACCTTTTTACCTGGAGAGCAGCCTCTGGAGAGCTTATAAACCTCTGTCCATGGGGACAGGGTCTCCGGGAACCTCACAGGGACAAGGTGATCCACTCCAGCTCTGGCACCATGGCAAGAGGTTCTGAGGGTGCCAGCCAGCCTTGAGGACAGTGACCAGGCTGCAGAAAAGAGGAGCCCATCTGCTAAGGATAGGGTGCAGCCCTGTGGCCTGACTGCAGGCCTGCCCAGGCCACCCGCAGGCACCCATAGCCTGGTGGAGAGGCTGAGAAGCCAGACTCTGCCTTTCCCCAGATTTTGTGAAATGAAGTGCACAGGGGTGGACTCAGCCTGGCACCTCTGGAATCTCTCCTCCTAGGGAGGTCACACCTGGAAGGGCTCTTTTGTTTCTGCACAGACTGTTGAGTCTATAGCATGGTATCCTACACACCGCAAGCGCCTAGTAGATATTCCCTGATATAATTTTTCAGAGATGAATACTGACAAAAAACACAATCCGAACATCCTATAAGGACCACCACCCCTCCCAGGGACAAGTGAGAAAACAAGAACTGTTAACTTCAGGGAAAAGAAAGAGAAGATGAGTGTTTCCAGAGGTTCTGGTACATGTGTCCTGTAGCAGTCAAGCTAGAGGAGTTGAAAGCTATTAATTCTGTAGCACAGGACTGCTGCCTGTCATCAAAGTCTTCACAAGAACAGAATATGGATAGCAACCTCCCTTCCCAGTCCCTGGCTAGGGAGAAGCAAGATCAGGAGACAGGGAGTAATAACAACAAAAGCGGGAGAAGTGAATCTCATGTATTCCTGCTTCTCTACTTTCACAAAATTAAAATTCTTCCTAAGAATAAAGCTGAAGTGAAAAATCCACCTTTGTTCAATATAAATACAAGATGATTCATTATTAGGTGACAAACCAAGCAATATAGACAACACATGCTACAAAGACCAGAGAGTTGACAGGTCATTTTGGCCTGGAGATGTGGTGAGAGGCCTGATGTGATAGACAGGACCTGAAAGAGAACAGGGTCTGGAGAGACAGAGGAGAGAGAGCAGTTCATCTTCCCCTCAGGTACTGGGGGAAGATGAACAGAACTTGGTTAAGGACACAGGGATGGGGCTGATGACAGCATGTGCTAGGGGCTGTAATGAAACCTATATCCTGCAAATCTGCCAAATCCAGAACCTCTGAGTTTTCCAAAGCTTGCTTGCCTAGATTGTGGTCCAACAGGTGAAAAGCCCAAAGAAATATTTTTGGGGGGGGAGGCAGCATGGAACAGTGGAAAGTGCAGAGAGAAGTCCTGGGCTCAAGTGGCTCTGTCACTCTCCCGCCGTAAGAACTTCAACAACTCTGCACATCAGTGGTACCATGAGGAGAGTATTTTCTACTCTGCCTGACTCAAAAGGTCATGATGGACGTCAAATGGAGAGCTGTGAAAAGACACTAACAGTCAGTTACTATGGAATAGTTAGTACTCATCCACTACGACTTTTTTTTTTTTTTTTGCTGAGGAAGATTAGCCCTGAGCTAACATCCATGCCCACCTTCCTCTATTTTATATATGGGACGCCACCACAGCACGTCTTAATCAGCGGTGCATAGGTCCACACCCGAGGTTCTGAACCTGCAAACCCTAGGCTGCCGAAGCAGAGCATGGGAACTTCACTACACCACCGGGCCGGCCCCCTCTACTACTTTTTGATAAGGTTTATTTTTAAGATGCCTGGATCACCCATCTGGCCAATTAAGCACCACAAAAGTGGCTCCTGAGTGATCAACCTCTTACAGAGGCTCATGGAACTTCCTGAGAATGTCCCAAGGTGTTGGCTGCTAGAGATTTCCTCTTATACTTTTTTTGCCATGAGAATCACTGCTAGCTTTCCCGTGATGCTTTGGGCAAGGGGATTTTTTTCTTTTACTTTCATTACAAGCAGAGAATCCATCCATCAGACAGACAGGACCTCCAAAGGGGCACGTCCTTCATCTGTTGCTCAGAATAGATGGTCCATTCCCAAGTTCAATCAAACAATCTGTGTCTCTTCTATTTTTTTAAACCTTTTCGGAGAGACAGTTTCCACACTACTCCCTTAATGAACTGTTTCAGTGGTTAACACACTTCACTGTTTGAAGCTTCTGCCTTCTGTTTAGCCTCAGTCCATTTCTCTTGGTCCGATTATTGAGAGTTTGAGAGGGACTGGTTATCAGACAGTCTAGCATAACTGTTTCAGAGGCCAGGGCACCAGCCGACTTGCTGGGCTCTAGTACTGTCCTTCATTGAATGGCTGTGTAATGTTGGGCAAATCACTTAATCTCTCTATGCCTCAATTTCCCCCTATTTAGCTTGTCCCTTTGAGCCATGGTTTCCTCTTCTGTAAAAAGTGAATGGCAATATCTTCCCTGCCTAAAGGAGGTCACCAATGCTGGATGACCTTGTGGGCATCTCCATTATAGAACATTATGTTGTAAGCACTGTTTAAAACTTATACATTCTCCTACTGGACAATGAGGTGGAAGAAGGAGGGAACCATGTCTTTTTCATCTATCCTGTAGCATCTAGAGTGGTGCCTAGTACATTGCCATGGAAGCAATTGGAGTAGAGTAATTTTTAGCCAAAATATTTTATGGCGAGTTTTCCGCATCCACCTACAATTCCAGGTCTCAGGATGTACTCCTTACCTCCCTCCTTTCTTCACACCCATGTCGGGTAGGGGGGTGGGGGGGGGCTGGGGACCAGGGCCTGGGGAAGTTGAGACTGTGCTCGCTTGGATGAGGTTCGCGACGCACCGGGAACGTGGTCAGCCACGATCGCGGCCGAGAGGACATCGGGCGGGGGCGATGACGCAACTTCAGACTCCGTTTTCCGTTTACTCTTTTATCCTAGCGTGTGGGGTCGGGCTGGGCTCCCTGGCGCTCTGTAGCATTAACACGGCGGCGAGTGGCGCCCGGGATTTCCCACGAGCGCGGAGGGAACCGTTGGTGTCCGCGACAGCCGCCCGCCACCCCAGCGCCCCCCAGACGACGGAGGAGTCCTGGCCGGGTCAGCCTAGGTGCGGGTGACACACCTGAAAGAGGCGTCCGCAGCAGGCTGGGTAGAACCACGGCAGCGGGGATGGGGTGTGGGAGTGGGGGATAGGAATGCATCCCGGATCAACGCAGGCAGAAGCATGGACCTGCACACATACAACCATGGAAAACTCTCAGGCACGGAGGGCAGAAGCCTGCCTTGCCCTACGGACGGCAGTCGTGGAGGACCACACTGGGCAGAGCCTCCAGGCGACGGTGCAGTGGTTGATTCCAAGTCAAGATGGTTGCAGCGCGGCTGGATCGCCGGGCAAGCTAGGACTGGACCTGGGGGCGGGGCCCAGGGAAGGGGCGGGACCAGGGGCGGGGCCTTGCCAGGGGCGGGGCCAGGTGCTGGGCTGTCTCTGCTTGTCAAAAGGCAGCAGCCGAGCCAGAGGCGCCAGCAGCGCGGAGCAGCGTGCCCACCCGCCAGACCAGGTGCGGACCCCGGAGCGGCGGGGAAGGGGGTCCCAGGCTCGGGATTGGGCCCGGGGTGGGGGCGTCGGGGATAGTGGGCCTGAGTGCCCGGGTGCAAACACTAGAATCTAAGTCGCAGGGGCAAACTTGGCGACTGAGATCCGGGCTGTCGTGCCATGAGGCTGGGGCACTGAGGGGACACCGAGGTCTGAGAAAGAGCTGAAGTTCGAGCCAGGCTGGCCAGGGGAGCAGCGACTTCCTCCGCGCTCAGGCAGCCTAACGCAGAAATGCTCCACTAGCCCACTTCCCAGCACTTGGGCAACAAGAAGCATTTGTTTCCTTCCTCTGTCTGGGCACCCTGGCATGGAGTGGAGGAAGAGAAAGGGAGAGATTGGCTGTCGATGGTGCTAAGATCTCCTAGGGGTGGAGTGTGTGTAGCCTTATTATTTCGTAGGACCCAAGGATGATCACTTGCAATGGTAGAGTTGGATCTTTTAAGTAGAGCTTTTTTCTTTTTTTTTTTTTTTTTAACCACTAATGATTTTAGACCTAGTTGGCCCTAGTGCACTGGATTTATTTTTTCAGGAGAGCCTGTCCCTAGATGTCCAGAGGAACTCAGGGGCAAGCGTCTAAGCAAGGAGGGGCTCAGGGAGTAGGTTCTGTTTGGGGAGTGAGGGACCCCACCTTTGTGGGTGGAGGGTGAGGAGGATTCAGGGCAAGTATCTAGGAGGGAACAGCATGCTGTGTCGAGGGAGCAGTGGACATTGGCCCCCCTCCCCCCATGGACCACTGAGGCTGAGACCCAGGCTGCCTGGGCTGGGACAGCCCTGGGTCTCTGAGCCCCGGCCCTTCCCGCATCTCCTCCTCCTCCTTCTCCACCTCCTCTTCCTCCTCCTCCATGTGGTGAGTGAGTCAGCCTCCTGTCTGGGCTCAGTTGCAGCCAGAGGGGCCAGAGCCCAGGCAAGCAGTTGGGCAGGCATTTTCTGAGCTTTGCAGAAGCTCTCCTGGGCAGAGTTCAGCTCTGCTTCTGCTCCCTGCTGGAAGGCCGTCTTCCTCGTGGCTGGTGTGGCCACTCCTGAAGGGGACACCCAACATGGCAATGATTATGGGATGGCTATGGTATGATTCCAGAAGAGGTTGAGTGTGAAGGGATTATGGCTTTGTGGTAAATCCACATCTCTTATCCTTCTCCTAAGATCAGGAGGGGCATCCCAGCACTGCAGATTTTCCAGCCCCTCATTCCATTTCTGCTGAGTGATCTTGTTAGCAGCCGACGTCTGTTAGTGAGGTGGCTGTGCACAAGAAATCGGGAAGGTTCTGGGACTAGGGAAGCCATGGTGTTGGCAAAGAAGGTTTTTAACTCAGGCTAGGAAGTGGGGGTGGTTTGCTAAGGCGGGAATGGATTATCTGGACCCCAGATCCTCAACTCTATGAACTGAGAGTGTTGTGTGTTGGGGGACGTTCCTCAATCAGTCCCTGTCCAAGTGCTGGAGGGGGTTGTGGGTCCTTCTGAAATGGTGTTAGGACTGATGTGCAGCCAGACCAGGAGGTAGTAAGACTGCAAATTTTTCTCTGGCCTTTGTTTTGGGTGCTTCAGATCCTTGAGCAGCAATAGGAGCCCCAGAGCCGATTGCCCCCTACTCAGTGGCCTCTCTGGACCTATTTGAGAAGAATCCACAACCAGGCTGTGGAGCTGACTCAAACTGTAAAAAGCTGGGGAATTCACAGTCTGTGCCCTGGCTGGGTCCCATGGCTTTGGTTTGGCTGGTCCCTGATCAGCCACAACTTGGACCCTTTCCAGGGTAAAGGAAGAACTGGAGAGTGGGATAAGGAAGAGAGTTAGGAAGCTTTCTCGACCCCTCTCAGCTCTTCAGCTAAGATAGTCACTCGTCATTTGTATAAATATTGTGGAGGGCCGGCCCCGTGGCTTAGCGGTTAAGTGCGCGTGCTCCGCTACTGGCGGCCCAGGTTCGGATCCCAGGCACGCACCAACGCACCGCTTCTCCGGCCATGCTGAGGCCGCATCCCACATACAGCAACTAGAAGGATGTGCAACCATGACATACAACTGTCTACTGGGGTTTTGGGGAAACAAAAAAGGAGGAGGATTGGCAATAGATGTTAGCTCAGAGCCAGTCTTCCTCAGCAAAAAGAGGAGGATTAGCATGGTTGTTAGCTCAGGGCTGACCTTCCTCACACACAAAAAAAAAATTGTGGAAAGTCTGGTGCTGTTTGGGGTGCCTTGGTGATTTGTGTTTATGGTTTCTCAGTCTTCTCCCCTTACTCAACCTCAGAACTGATCCTCTTTTTAGAACTAAGTCCTGGAGGAAGCACCAAGAGGACCTCTTGGACCCCCACCCTCCACTCTCAGAACAAATAGCCAGTGTGCAAAACCAATATCTTCCATGTTTGGAGGAAGGCCTGGGGCCTAGTGGGCCAGACCAAGTGGCTATCCAAGACAGGACAGGGAGTCCCAGTCGTTCAGTTCTTTACCCCACATCCTATGGGGGCAGCGACCTCCTGGTCAAGAGCTGCCTCTGGAACCTCTGCTAGAAACCTGCCGTGGCCTAGTCGGGTTCTAGTGGCTGGAGAGTCAGAGTCAGGGGCACTGGAGACTCTGAGGTAGGACGGCATGCCGGTTTGTTGCTGGACAGGATGATTCTAGGACTCCAGCTTTCCATTTGTAGCTGCTGCAAGTCTGTTTTGGAAGCAAGAAGAGGGAAGTAAGGAAATAATGGGATTTGATTAGGAGCTTCTTGTATGCCCAGCATGGTGCTCGGCCCTCCGAGGAATGACAGGAAGCAGAACCCACGAGACCAGACCTCTTCCCCTGAGACGGTCTGAACCCCAGGGTGGGCAGCACTCTCGGGCTCTCTCTCCATTACTGTCTGGTTCTGAGAGGATCTAGCTGGACACAGCTGGTGGCTGTGGCTCTGGACCTCCAGGGCGTTGTTTTTAGTTATGCTTTCCTCTGATTCCTCCGTGCACGTCTCCTGTGTCAGTGCCCTCCTAGATGGGCTAGAGAGAGTGACCATCTAATTTATTGTCCAAACTGGGATACTTTTGAGAGTGAAAGGGGACGCTATTTATAGTTATGTGGGGACATTAGAGATAAACCAAAACTGTCCAGAGCAAACTGGAACATTCAGTCATTCTAGTGAACACCACTCCAAACCCAGTGGAGGCCACAGTGATGAAGAGAAGATGGGTGGGTGTGGGTTTAATGAGGAGAAGAAGATGGGGGTAGTGCTTAATGATGAGGGGAAGATGGGGGTTGCTTCATTCTGAGGGCAGCCTCAACACCCCAGCCTGCTCCCTGGGGTGCAGCCAATTGCAGTCTTATCCTTGAGGGCAGCGCTGCTCCCAGCCACCCTCTCCCAGGACCCAGCCTACTGCTCGTGCGACTTCCCTTCACCCTTGACTTGTGACTGGCCTCGCCTTTGGTTTTCCTGCCCCACCCGTACCTCAGACAGGGACAGGAAGGCCTGCCAGCTCCCCTTCAGCTGCCCCTGGGGGAATTGGGGTTCATACTGGAGCCAAGACATAATCTCATGCTTCCTCTTCCCTCTTCCCCATATCTGCAGCCTCTTCATTTTGTCTGTCCAGCTTCCAGACCTCTGGGGGCCACACCATCCCCCAAGAAAGTCCAGCTCTAAAGCAGGTAAACAACCAGGAAGGGCAAGGTAGTCAAACCTCGCCCATGTGGAAAAAGGGCACAGGTCACTTGTAATCGGGTTCCTGGGAAATGTTAAGCAAAGTGGAGGTCAGAGCCAGAGAGAAGCTTCTTAGCAGCAGATGGGGTCAGTTCCTTTGGACACTGGAGTCTGACTCTCCAGTCTGGTCGGACTATTGGGGAAATGGTCCAGGGTGGGGACAGACTGTTCTTGCTCAACCCAAGCTATAGGCGTTGGTGGCAGCAACTGCATCCTGCCGTGGTGACGTGTGGAAGAGAAACTGCCCCCCTTCTGAATCCTTGGTCTTCTTGGTCCAGATGCTCGGGGCAGGCTCCCTGGAGAGTCCCCAGAGGTCGGGTGTGTGAGTGATTGGGGTGTTGGGCGTGGTGAGGTGGAATCTTCTAATGACTTCGTAATGACTCTGTCTGCTGTGGCAGGAAGGAAATCATTCTCATCAGCAACAAATGAAAAGGGCAGGTGAGGACTTCTTGGGAAGTCTCACCCTTTGAAGTCACTTGTGGGGAGGGGGAAGGGGAGAGACCCCCTGGGCTGGCAGGGGTAGGAGGGGGTGGCTGGTCGGTAAATGGCGGGAGCGAGAGGTAGAAGCAGCAGGCACTTGGGGAGTCTGAGTGTGTGTCATGCTTTTGCAAACCTGCCCTGCAGGTCCCACGCCAAGGAATAGACCAAGCAGTGTTCCCAGAATCGGATACCACACAAAGTCCCCATTCTGCACAGGGAGAGTCTTGGTCCTGAGCAGGGCGTGGGCAGCTGCACCAGCGGGAAAGTGGAGTTTGGGCAGGACCCGGCAGCCAGTTCCTGGGAAGCTGCTGCCTCTCACTGGCCTCCTGATGACAGATTGAAGCTTTGAGGTGTTATGCAAGATGTGACATTCCAGGCACTGTGGGGCACCCAGGAGGCCCAAGGCTTTGCTGGTGACACACCCAGTGTGTGCCACCTGCTGACACTGGAGTTGTAGCTCCAGGAACAGCTACTCACTGAATGCTCAGCTCAGTTATACCAGGTGCCGTGCTGAGTACATGGCCCACGCGGCCACCCAGACCTGCCACATCCTGGTGAGATGGGAACCACTGTTATGTTCCTTTTACAGATGGGAAACTGAGGCTCAGTGAGGTTGAGCAACGTGCTAAGGTGACACAGCTGGCGAGTGGGACAGTCAAGACTTTCGCTTGGGTCTGTCTTAACCTCTGTGGAACTCTACCACGTCTGCATTCATGGGCATTCACGGGCGGCCACAGGGCGTTTAGGGCCATGACTTGCACACAATTTTTGTTGTTGTTAGTGCCATCTAGTCAATTCCGACTCCCGGCGACTCTGTGTACAGCAGAGCAGAACCCTGTGCTGTATTTTTGCTCCGTCCTCTCACCTTCTGGCGCTGTATCAGACAATGCTCCACTGCTATTCATAGGGTTTTCATGGCCCCTTTTTTCAGAAGTACATGGCCAGGTCCTTCTTCCTAGTCTGTCTTAATCCGGAAGCTCCACTGAAACCTGTCCACCATGGGTGGCCCTGCTGGTATTTAAAATCTTGGTGGCACAGCTTTCAGCATCAGAGCAACATGCAGCCGCCACAGTATGACAACCGACAGACAGATAGTGTGGTTCCCTGACCAGGGAAGAAACCCCGGCCGCAGTGGTGAGAGCGTGGAATCTCAACCACTAGACCATCAGGGCACGTAATAGGCCTGCAGTAAACATTTGTGAGCAGCAGGGTTAGATTTGCTGACTAGTTTGAGCAAGTTGGCCTGGGAGCAAGCTCAGTTTGCCCACATGTGACTCCAGGGACAGTGGGCTCTCAGAAGAAGGCTCCCTCTGCCAGCACCCTCAGGCCTCAGTACCTCTCCGGCAGTCTTGGGTACCTTACTCACGTAAAAATAGACAAGAACCTGAGAGAGGTAGCTCTGTGCAGAGAGATTGCATGGCATCAAAGAAGACTTGAATGGTCTGGAAGGCAAATAAGAAGCGCTCTTTCAGTTTCAAACAAGCCACTTTATTGATAACCTGCTATGTGCTAAGTGCACCAAGGAAGAAAAAGCCATGGTCCCATTGGCCAACTGGAGCTATTCTCACCTTGCTTACGTATTCCCCTCCTGGCTACTCCTTCAGGAATCCTCCTGAGCCCAGGCCACCTGGAAGGAGAAATGGACTCGAGCCTCATCTGAGAGCTTCTGCCAGGTGCTGTGCTGACCACTTGTCTTCTTTAATCTTCCCAGCTTCTCTTTGGAGTAAGTTACTGTTGTTCTCTCCAGCATGTATATGGGTAAATCAAGGCTTAAAGAGATGCAGTAACCTGCCCATGGCAACAAAGTCAGTCCGTGACCACTGTTCCACACTGCTTGCTGGTGTTGGGCTTGACCGTACAAGCCACTCCAAGTGCCAGAGCCAAGAGACAGAGGTAGGAGGAGGAAACACTTAGCTTGTTCCTCTGCTGACTTGTCCCTCAGCTGTGGTTCCCAGGGTTCCTTGGTGTATGACTGAAATCTTAGGCAGTGCTGTTAGAAGCTGTGCTATCGGCCTGGTGGAATAGGAGAAACACGGGGTTCAAGTTAGACACACTTGGGTTCAAATCCTGGCTTTGTCACTTTTTAGCTTGTGAC